ACCGCGAGAGCTGGGAATGCAGCTGTGATATCAGAAGTGGAGAAAGACCTTGAAACTGGTACAAGCATTCCCCAGTGCCAGCTAAGAACTTATCAGTACTGCTCCCTGCATCCAGGAACACAGCTTCCTAGCAGCCACGGTAAAGAGATTTAACCCTTTCCTGGCTGAATCCAGCACAATAACACAGATGTCCTTGAGTATATTTTAGGTAGACATAGTTATGATATGCTTTCTTAGTGACACAGAAGTTGAGAAACTAGTGTCTTATCAAATAAGATATAAAAGCAATGCTGTATGTTTAAAGTTATTAATATTCTGGGTGAATTTAGAATATTACGATGCTAGATGTATCACACTATCTTAAAAACTTGCATAGTAATTCTAAAAGCTAGTGTTTAGTAAGAAACAGCCTGCTCTAATGAAGCATACCTTATAGCACTGTTAGCAGCATCAGGGTCTTTGGCATGTACTTTTCCAACCACAGTACCAACTGCTGCATTTTCTTGTACTTCAAAAACATAACTTGGCTTTAAAAATACAGGTGGCTCATCAGCATCTTCCACTGATATCTTCACTGTTACTGTGTCCTTAAATGGCCCATTGCTTATGAACTTCGGATCAATATGTACATTGGCTGCCTCTACCTTCAGACTGTAGGACTTTTTGGTTTCAAAATCTAAGAGCTGTGAGAAACAAGAAGACAATGCATTCTACAGTTAGGAAAACTAGAGTGTAAAAGCAGTAAGCAGTCCCCTAGTATTTGATGACAAAACAAATGTGACCATCTGTCAACAAGCTTGGACTGAAATGTGTGTATTTAAAAACATAAGGACCCAGATGGAAGGAGCTACATTCTATGTCTGCAGCAGCATAGAAAGGGACTCAAAATATCATGCAGAGTCCTTGTCTTGCTCTTTGCTTGCTAAATCATCTTAAGAAATCATCTTTACTGGGAAAATTACCTTTTCTTCATGTAGTCTTCCAAGTAACACAAAAGAGCAATGGATAGGAAAAGGATTCACACAGAATGCCAGGCTTGGTCTATCCCAAGCTGGCAAGCATTGACAAAGAGAACTTAAATTATTTAAGTAGTAGGGCAAATATGAAGAAGCTCTGAAGTGGTTTCATTTCTGTAGTTCTTTCCATCCATAGATCTCATAGCACTTTACAAAGAGGAGGTGAAATAATGCCCCATGAGGTAAGTCTTTCTGGGAGCCTGATCAAAGTCATAGTATATTTGCATTGTCATTGGCATGAAAAGGCTGCAGCTTGCAGTACTGCAGCTTGTAATACCAATGATCACGTCTCTAAATACCTGAGGAGCAGCTGTCAACCACAATTCACAAAGTATGTGAACACCATAAACTGAATGGTGTGACAGTTCACCCACGTTTTAAAATACACAAAAAATACACTCCTACCTCTAGAACAGATACAGTAATTGAACCACAGCATAGTTGTAACTGAAGGAGACCTCACAGTCTCTTCCTGAGAGACTGCCCTGATGGGCAGGGCAGGGCTAACTTTAAAGTTAAGTTGCCCAGGCCTTCTCCTTAAAGTTTTGATTATCTCCAAGAGACATGAATAGCTATAAAGATACTAAGGGCAAAATGATACTGCTTAAATAATGAATAAGTTTTACGATTTATAATTTGTAATTTAAAATTCATTTCATAACACTTTTAAAGATCACACTGATGGATTGTATATGAAATCACCTCAGTATTTTTGCTGCTTTTTGCATAGGCTGTGGCTCCTTCAGAACAATATCGTGGACAATGCACAGCTGAAGAAATCAAACTATAGGGCATGGGGCTGTTCAGACCGAACATAAAGCAACAGTGAATGTCGTCTACTTATTAGTGCTAGGTAAAACTTCATTAACAATGAAGCTGATGGCATTGTATTTTACTGTGACTTTGTATTATGAATTCATTTAGTTTGTACAATTAATCCACTGTATAGTATTTATGTAACTCTTATTGGTTATTTTCTTCCATTCCAATTCAGCTAATGGGGAAATGGAATATTAAGAGTTAATCAGAGCTTTAGAAACAAATCAAGTGAAATTGCATTTACTGATATTTTAGCTTAGCGAGTAATCCATTATTATCAAATAGTCTGTCAGCAACAACAACATTCGTAGGTATTACTCACCTTCTTAAGCTTTATAACACCTTCCTGAGTCTCATAATCTGTTGTAATTTCAAACATATCCATGCCATCTCCATCAATGATGCTGTAAGCTACTAAGCCATTTTCGCCAATGTCTGGATCTTTGGCCTTCACTCTTCCTACTTCCTCTCCTGGGACAGCTGCTTCCGACACTGACATCTGGTACACACCTGGTGAAAGGAAAAACAGGCATTTGCCTTAAGTATGCAGTCTGATCTCCAGTTGTCCATTTACTCATTTCACTTGTAAGTTCCAAATAAACACAGTAATTTTTCACATTTTGAAATCCCCTGAAGCAATGTTATGTTATAAAGAGCTCTGAGAAGCAAGTCATCTGTGAAATCTTAAAACACATTCCTAATGTATATAAAATTACCTCCTCACTGATGTTTTACACAACATATGTGCATCTCTCTGTTCAGGGTAGTGTTAAAAAGACCCAGCAATCAGTCAGAATGGAGAAATTGTTGTGACATCAAGGTTATCATTCATGCCATAAATGTTATTGCAAAAATGGAAGGAAAATTCTCTTTCATATGAATCATGGTATGACCTTCAGCTCTGTAGAATAAAGAAGCATTTCTGCCCATTCCTGTCATTCAGGAGCCACAAATTATATATAATGTATCGGCTAAGACCTTTCTGTTGTGTTGGCTAAAGACTGAATCTGCTGCTTTCTGCAGCTTTAATTTGACGTGTGAACATACAGTAATAATGGTTATTAAAATTTAACATAGCAGAGAATATATACTAATTTATATGGGATTCCATACCAAACAAAAAATGGCTTTCCCTTATCAAACTACAATAGGAAAACCATCCCCAAACATCCCACAGATGTATTGCCATATGTATTGGATTTGTGTGGCAACGTTTTGGTAGTGGGGAGTGCTACAGTGGTGGCTTCTGTGAGAAGCTGCTGGAAGCTACCTCTGTGTCCAACAGAGCCGAGGCCAGCCGGCTCCAAGGTGGGCCCACCACTGGCCAAGGCTGAGCCTATCAGCAACAGTGTTAGCACCTCTGGGACAACATAGTTAAGAACGGTGGGAAAAACAACGAGAAAATAAATTGCAGCAGAAAGAGAGATGTGAGAGAAACTCTGCAGACACCCAGGTCAGTGGAGGAGGGGGTGCTCCAGGCATTGGAGCAGAGATCCTCTGGCAGCCCGTGGTGCAGCCCGTGGTGAGGCCAGCTGTGCCCTGCAGCCATGGAGGGTCACGGGGGAGCAGAGACCCACCTGCAGCCTGGGGAGGACCCCACAC